TGGCTAGCAGTGGAAACCAGGATGCGCGTTTCCTCCTATTTATGACTCGTTAGCTGGATGTACCTGTATCTCACAGCTGATGTTTACTCTGGGACTCGAACCCAGTACCGTTCACTTCAAACGCCGTCGCGTTATTCACTTAATTACTGAGTCCTGATTGCCATTTGCTTGTGCTTATATGTGTTTAAGTGCTGATCTGTAACTTTATAATTAACCCATGTGATCAATACCAGAAGTTTATGAAGATTGTTGAGTTTTATGGTTTGAATTACGTACTCACTTTAACCCGGTAACTGTAGAAAGTCAAGAAATATGCGTTAGTTATGTTGTCCTAGCATGTGACTACTCAGTGATAAAGCTAGTTATTTAAAACTGATCTATAGTATATGCAAAAAACTTAGAATTACGGCATTAGATAGATAAATAGATGAGTAAATATTTTTAACAGTGATCTAGGTAACACTAGAAATTAATTTTAGCTAAATTGATCAGATGACGATGATATCATCCAATGGTAACAAATAATAAGTCGGTTCGTTCATTTTCTCCATAAAACAAAATTAACTTAACAAATAAAGAATAACAATAGTAGTATGTCAAAAATATGGACTAGTCAGTCCTGCTTAGTGATAAGAGATTTTAAGATGTTCAAGTCATCAAGCAATTTATGTGTCGTCAACACCATCCTTGTTACCACATTGATGCGGAGTCTGCTTTCCAAATCAACAGGCTTGTTTGTTTAAATCCTAAGGTTTTTGTTATATTTCAAACTTTTATGGTGTAAGGTTTTTCTGCCACTTATTAAACTGTTATCTCATGACGTTACAAACAATTAAGAAATACGGGTAATGTTGGCTAGCATGACCATCAAATAAAAATGAACTTCAATGTGAAAGGTTTTAGATGATTGTTGAACAACAACCATTAGAAACCATGAACCGCAGTAAGGTTGTTTCGTCATAGTATGAGACTGCTCAGCAATGCAAATCTACGATACACGGCGACCCTGCAGTATACTGCACTAAGAAACTGTATCTCAGCTCACTAGTTCGAAGACCGAGCACTTCGTACGAGATCACATGATCCTGTGTTCGAACCCTCTTGGAGTTACAGATATTTACTTTTGAGGAGTACAATGTTTTCGTACTTCACACATCTTCTTTCTAGACAGCTTTATTAAGACAAGATATTAGTCATAATTTTTAAAGGACTACTTGATTTCAAGACTTTATAACATTCTGAATAATTTATTCATATTTGCAGTGATAAGCATCGAGTTCGTACCCACCTTCAATTTAGATCCATCCAACAGATAAGACATGAATAGGATGAAACTCAGGTTCTGTTTTCAATTACTAACCAACATAAAAAATAATCCAGGATATTTTTCTGATGAAAAGAATCGTAATGAATTAAACCAATACATATTCTTCTTACAAACACATTACTGTTTTCTGCCTATTTTCTTCTATCTATACTTCCAACACCCTTAATTTATCGAATAATTTTGATCGTGCTTAACTCTTGAGCTAATTTTCTTTAAAACGTTATGTTTTTCTTCTGTTTTCACAGGGATTTCACCAACTATTACATGTTCACAAACTCGATCACTTTGTGGTGAACATGCATCATGTCGAAATACTGACAACGGTGTTACATGTACATGTGATCCAATGTGGAAAGATGTAAATCCAGATGATCCAGGAAAAAATTGTACACGTATGTTTCAAAATATTTTTCCCCAATACACTATATGTATTATAGTTGCAAATTGAATGCTATATTCGTTTCCTAAGCTATTCTGTAACCCTCAAGCTAGAACTATACAGCGACCTGAACACAAGAGAGAAGACGCAAAGTATGTGAGAAATACTTTACTCCAAGGTTTGTTTTTGTACAGAAAAACACGGGCATTTATAGATGTTAACATTTATTAAATCAACATCGTATTTTAGCCAATCCACTAAAAAACATATTGTGCCACTGACCAGTAGTAGCACGCCACGTTGACATTCTAGAAAGCTCCATCATGCTCTGATTGTCTAGGACTCTTCGACTCCTCTAGGGCCTCTGGAGGCTCCGTTGCAGTTCTCGGAAAGCCGACTCAACAATAGTATATAGTTTTTTATATATTATTATGTTTCTAATTTGTTGTATTGTATTTATAGCTTGATATTAAGTATTCTGATTGTGATATTTTGTATTGTGTTAGCTATAATTTACAAAGGTTACCTAGTAGTTTGACATCAATCTCTTTAACGATGAATCTTACGTAAGTGATAGATACAATTGAACAAAAAGTAACTTCACTTGTAAAAAAACAATACTACTTGAAGAACAGTAGCTTCAAGAGTATCATGCCAAAACAAATTTCTACAAAGAAATCCATTTCTGTTCTTCATAGTACTTCTTTCTTTATCTTCCTCAATACCAACCACTGAACATAACAATTGCTTAGCTAGTGATAGGATAAAAATGTTTGTATATAATCTAATTTGTTTAACTGATAACAAATTAAACTGGTAATAGGATGAAACAGTCAATTATTTATATGAGCTAGGGTTATTACCCCATAGTGTTTTCCTTGCCAACTAACGCTAGCGATAATGTAAAATAGTTAGGGTTAGGTATTTAGAGTTAAGCTGGAGTTTTGATAAAGGTTTACAAATTAAGAATTATAATGCTCGGTCTTCCTCGTCTACACGAATGAAATGCTAATTTACCTTAGACGAATATCTACACTAGATATCCTACCAGCGTCTATTCTACAGAACTTCAGCACAACTCAGATCAAGAACACGTGATTAGCCTGACTAGAACGTAAGTACATTTGAACATTAGTAACCGACAACAATCACAATTATAATAAGGGTAGAAGAATATATAACTCATCTAGTACCTATCAGAGTATCTACGAGTCTTAATCAGGAAACAACTAATCATTATCTTCCTCGCCTACATATCATTAAGGTTAAGGTTTTCGTCATGAACTAACATCAACTATAATGTAATAGTTTATAATTCTTTTGTATGCCAACTTGGGAAACTTGGGGTTGAAATTAAAAGTAAGGACTACAATGAGAGAAAACTATTCAGGTTCATGAAGTACTCCTGATCTAGGATTGAATCATATCAAGCACTTTAACATACATTCTGTTTAATGATCAGGTTTGTTTTGTAATTAAGCTTAGGGATCATCTTAAATTTACTTTTTAGCTGCATAATAGACATTTTCGTTTATTTCAAACATTTAAATGACTAAATTGTACCAAGTTGATCAGTAATATTGATTGAGATAAATATAAACGAAGAAGATATTTCTTGGTTGGTTAGTTCGATATTTCAGTGAGCGAATTATGTGTATCCATTTAGTAAGTCATTTACTGGGCACAAATTTGCTTACTTGGTTTCAAGCCACCATCTTATCGTGAGAGTCAATGATACTTGTCAGGCTACTGAAATAAAATTAGATGGAATGGAAGTCGAAACTGAGATTTAGTAATTGAAAGTAAAGTATCTTAATCTGTGATCTGTTGCCCCACATACACATTATTATAAGATCAGTTATAGTGAACTATTAACTTTCAACTAGGTTATTTTATTACAGTTAATAAGATCTGTAGCAAGTTTAAAATGACTAGTGAATGATATGGTTTCTGGACATTATTTATTAAGCAAAAAAATCCTTGTAACTAATGATGTATGCATTCTACCATTTTTATACTATTCATTTTACACTATTTATCTGGTGTGACTATAATTTAAGGACCACCTTTAAGGAACGCTAAAATGACTTTGAGAATGTCCAGCTACTAACTAGGACTAAATGATGATTATAAAAAAGTGTGAGGAGTTAGAATTATGATTTACAGTTGATGGTTATAGTTAAGCGTTAGATTTAGGCTTTCCACTACTTACTGGTATCAGCTAAGATATCAAGCCTCCAAATGTTCTGGTACACCCGAGAGTAAGGAGAGTCAGCTCTCTATCTCTCTCCAAATGCTCTTACATAGTCACGCGTATGCAGCCACTGCCAGTGAAGTCCTACTCACTGCCCTCTCACAGTAGGGGTATTGTTTAGGAAATTGAGAGGACGAGAAGCGAATGTCCGGCGCTTTAACCGGATTGGTGGACATGGAGAGTCCACCTAGAGGAGTTGTAAAACTCTCATTCCAAACTAGTTGTACACATGAGCTCCATGATCCTGAAAGAACAAATGGCGAATGAACCAATTATTAGTCATCTGCTACCATGGGACTGAATCTCCTGATGTTGCTACACTACCATATAGATCAGACCTTTAGGTCAAAGGTTCCAGGTGTGGCCCCCTAAGGAAACCATCTGATTTGGTCTGAGCACCCGAACAGTATCACAGACTACACACAAATCAAGTGACTTGTGTGGTGTATATGTATTCAGTGCTCCATTGTACCAATATTTATAAATAAAAATAGCTAAAATGTCAAAACTCTATTTAACCAAATCGATGAATGAATTAATTCACATTAAAATCCAAGATCTATTCTCTTATAATCTGATTGGTTCATTCATAAATTATACTCTTAACATTTCTTCATTGAATGAACTAATTCTTTCTTCTTCTTTTTTTTTAATTTTCTCGTGTTTTATTTTATTTTTCTCTGTTCCTTTTTTCAACAAGTACATCCTGGAACAATCGCATTAATTGTATTTGCTGCTATTCTATTAACTATTGCTATTGCTGCATTAATCTATTTTCTAGTTCGAACAAAATCAATGAAACAATTACGATTAAAATAAATTGACATAATGAAATATTAGATTAATGTTCATATTTATTTTATTATGATTCAATTACACAATTAAATTAGATATGTTATTAAAACAATATTTGGATTGAAGTAAACAAAAACAACCACAATGTTTATATTTTTTCTTCGTCCACTTCTTCTTCTTCTTCTTCTCGTTTTCTTTTTATGTTCATTCACTATCACAAATATACATATTTTTTAAAACTAAATTCAATACATTATATGCAAGGATGGATCGTGAGTAGTAGTAGTAGTAGTAGTAGTAGTAGTAGTAGTAGTAGTAGTAGTAGTAGTAGTAGTAGTAGTAGTAGTAGTAGTAGTAGTAGTAGTAGTAGTAGTAGTAGTAGTAGTAGTAGTAGTAGTAGTAGTAGTAGTAGTAGTAGTAGTAGTAGTAGTAGTAGTAGTAGTAGTAGTAGTAGTAGTAGTAGTAGTAGTAGTAGTAGTAGTAGTAGTAGTAGTAGTAGTAGTAGTAGTAGTAGTAGTAGTAGTAGTAGTAGTAGTAGTAGTAGTAGTAGTAGTAGTAGTAGTAGTAGTAGTAGTAGTAGTAGTAGTAGTAGTAGTAGTAGTAGTAGTAGTAGTAGTAGTAGTAGTAGTAGTAGTAGTAGTAGTAGTAGTAGTAGTAGTAGTAGTAGTAGTAGTAGTAGTAGTAGTAGTAGTAGTAGTAGTAGTAGTAGTAGTAGTAGTAGTAGTAGTAGTAGTAGTAGTAGTAGTAGTAGTAGTAGTAGTAGTAGTAGTAGTAGTAGTAGTAGTAGTAGTAGTAGTAGTAGTAGTAGTAGTAGTAGTAGTAGTAGTAGTAGTAGTAGTAGTAGTAGTAGTAGTAGTAGTAGTAGTAGTAGTAGTAGTAGTAGTAGTAGTAGTAGTAGTAGTAGTAGTAGTAGTAGTAGTAGTAGTAGTAGTGGTCATGCTTGGAACTCATCAGCTGAATGTACCTGTATCATCAGAACTAATGTTCACTCTGCAACACGAATCCAGTATCGTTCATTTCAAACACCATCAGGTTATCCACACCACTACTTAGTCATCATAGTTACTTGCTTGTGAAATGGGGTGAAGTTTAAAGTCACTTGATATTGTTATTTGAATCTTCCCATTGATGTTTAGGACTGCAATCGATCAATCTCTTATTGGCATATGTGCATACTGTGTGTATAAGGTTATATAGAGGCAATACATTCAGTATGTATATATGCTAATAAGAGACTGATCAATTGCAGTCCTAAAAATCAATAGGAAGATTCAAACAAACAATAACAAGTGAATTTAAATTCAGTACAGTTTATTTACAAGCTGCATTTTTGTTGAAATATATATATAAAGAATTAAATGGTGAATTAAACTGTTCTTAAAATTACATAATTCACACCAAAGAATAATCTTAGTTAAACAACCATTGAAAACTAGGAAGTACTGGACTCGTAGTTGGATCTGGATCGTGCGTTCACATTCCGCTGTTTGTTCACGATTTTAGTTAATATCAGGACGTGTTCATCCCATTGTAGTGGCTGTGCAGCCTTTCAGCTGTGTCTATGTTAAATGGGTGCTGGTGTGTTGATGATTTAGTCTTGTTGATCTATTGGCATGCTTTCGGATGCCTTTAAAAGGGTGTCGAAAGCGGACAGCATCTTTACTTTGAACAAATTTGAGTGCTTATAGTAGGTCCGTGCGCCTAAAACTTTCTGCATGGAATAATGAAATAGGACTTTGGTTCTACTTTGTTGGTTTTTGGATTCGAAGGACAGACGGGGGCATTTGTATGGCGGTGTTAGAGAAGAAATTCTGGGATCGACGCCAGACAAACTACATCGAAAGCATTTGCCAAGAATGTTTTAATTGATCAGGAGCGAACGTCAGAATTTTGAAGACGATCAAATACCGTCGTATTTCTGACCATAAACGATGCCGACTGATGATCCACGTTGATTCTATAGTTGACATCGCGAGCAGTCCGCGGTAAATCTTTAAGTCTTTGGGCTCCGGGGGAGTATGGTTGCAAAGCTGAAGCTTAAAGGAATTGACAGAAGGACACCACCAGATATGGAGACTGCAGTTTAATTCTACTCACCATGGGAAAACTCACCTGGCCTGGACATTGTGAGAATTGACAGATTGACAGCTCTTTCCTGATTCAGTAGATGGTAGTGCATGGCCATTCTTAGTTAGTGGAGCGATTTGTCTGGTTAATTCCGATAACAGGATATTTGTTTTTCTCTTGATATGTCACTTCTAAACGAAATATATTTTTAGTGGCCCGATATTTAACTCCACTCATATCGTCTGACGATTGTTGTCGAAATATACATTCCACCAATCCTTGTAAATTATCAGTGATTAAACACGCGTCAGTAAATAACGGAATTAAACATAAGTCAAATATGGGGATGGATTTTGAATACGTATATTTCATACAACTGTTGATCCAGACAGACGATCAGAAAAACGAAGCTGAAAAAGCGATGCGAAATGAAATGACGCACAGTGAAAAAGGCAAGTAAGCCAACTCCATTTAACCAGGCGTGAATTGATATTTATAGTCAGACAAAATTATGTTACAGATATGTCGTGAGTAGAGTAAGGGATTAACACACGCCCATATATAAACAGTCAAGGTTAGTAAGTAAATAATTGACAAGGTAAAAATATGACTCAAGACGAATGAACAAACTGGTCTTTCTGGAAGCTAGAATAACCCATGTGGTTGTGACATAGTCACATTGTCTAAATTTAGACTTGTACAAAATTGGGTCCCGACTCAGTGGTCTAGAAATTTGGAGTTAGCACGTGATAGCAAAGGTCCTGGTTTCGGTTCTCAGCTACGGGATCGTGAATGTACACTATTGAGGAGTCCAATACTAGAAAGAAATGTCTCTTAAGTGACCTCATGTTTTCAGTAGTTGCCTAACTTAGATAAGCTTACGATCTGAACGACATTCTCAAAACTTATACCATCTTCTGCTCCATAAAAACGGCTTCAGAGAGAAAACAGGTTATCATTTATTTTGGGCAAAATTACTTTGACCAAAATAGTAGTATCCTACACTAACACTAGACAAGGTGTAAAAAGTATCAATTACGAGGTTGCTGAGATTATCGATTTTTGGTCAAGTAACGAACAAATCTAAGTAAAACAAACATTGTAAACCTGGAAACACATAATAGCTGTTTTTCATAGTAGCGAACCTCTCAGCAGTATGTCCACAAAATTACCACCAGGTATCGAATGCAAACCCGAATAGATTGACAGAAACTGGGTTTCAAGTATATTCAAGACATTATGTATCAAAACATATCTGAAATAATCCCAGTGACTTAAATTTAAATAATTCCAACTCTTCCCCGAGAAGGCTGATCTTTTTTAAGATAATAATCATAATTAATAAGCAAAGATGGATAGCGTGTAGCAGTGGAATTCAGGACGTGCGTTTCGTCATATTTAGGACTCGTCGTATGGATGCACCTGCATCTCAAACCCCGACAAATTCTCTCAATGTGAGATGCATGTACCATCAGCTGACAAGTCTCAAAAAGGACAAGGGAAATAACTAAAATTCCTACCCTAGCCACATTTCATCTATTCTATATCAACCATAATGTTGTAGTAGAAATAACAAGATGAATCAATTTACGTTAAAGATAGATTCAACCCATGTATTAAATGTGTGATAGAGGTGAGACTATAATTTATGGATGACCTTTGAGTGACGCTAAAGTAACATTGTGAAGTTCCATCTACTAACTAGGACTATATAATGGTTGAAAAGCAGTATAAGGAATTAGAATTGTGATATACAGTTGGTGGTTTTCATCACGAGCTAGCATTAGCTAGAATGTCAAAACGCTATTTAGCCAAATAGATGAATGAATTTCGATGCGAAATTCAAGACCTGTTCTCTTATATCTGATTGGTTCGTTCATAAATTATAGTCTCACCGTGATCGACTCTACTTATAAGAGTATTTTTAATGTTGTGTAGTAGAACGTTGCGTCAACAATAATTGTCAAACATAATGATGAGTTTCAGTGAATCGAAAGCACGGTGTTGACAGAACACTTGAAAACCAGACGAGAAGACAGATCCGATGGCAGGATACACCAAAAGATGTAATTTAATTACAATGAATAAATAGAATTATTATTTACGACCTAACATATAGGAAAAACAACCCAAATTATTCAAATATGGTGAATACATGTTTACATTACACAAATTGTTATATTATATTCATTCAATAAGTGAGAAATTAAACAAAATGTAGATAAGATTCATTAGATATCACTTACATGTATACGCGGAAAGATGCACATAGGGAGAAGCAATCGTGATCTACCAGTAGGGATGGCGGAACATATACCCAAATAGCTTCAGAAATAAATGAATTCCAATGGCTAAATAAGATCACAGAATAGACAAACATCTTCCTCTATTGCGAAACATTTGGTTGAGACTAGTCATAAGGTTGATATCAAGTCAGCATTTGTAGTGTTGTACAAAGGCCTTCAAGGGCGTATACAATGGTTTATTGAAGCTTTGACTATACGGAAACTGAAACCCCCTTTATGTGTTCAAAACCAGTTTGTTCATACAACCAAAGATGGATAGTGGGTAGCAGTGGAATCCAGGACGCTTGTTTCTCCTTATTTGGGACTCGTCAGCTGAATTTATCTGCATCTCAGAGTTGATGTTCACTCCATAACACGAATCAAGTACCGTTCACTTCAAACGCCATCAGGTTATCTACGCCACTACTTAGTCCTCATAGTCACTTGCTTGTGAAATGGGATGAAGTTTAAATTCACTTGGTATTGTTTACGTGAAGCTTCCCATTGATGTTTAGGACTGCAATTGATCAATCTCTTATTGGCATATGTGTATACTATGCTTACTGACTCGATGTAGTTTTAATTCAAGTAAACAATATCAAGTGAATTTAATTTGTTCTTACCCTTAACCTACCCTGGTAATAGTAATTTATTATCCAGAGTGGTTATCACATGGTTTTTGTGTACTTTATTATTATCCTTGTTACGGCTTACCTTTAATCTGTCTAGTTGACCTGAAAGACCAAGTATATATGTTTGCGATTGTACAGCTTTGAAAATGAATTCACCGAAAAGAGAACTCTTTGTTGAACTAGTCTTTCTTATTTAAATTCTCAAAACAGATGTACCACTAAGACCTGTGATTGATTACATTAATTCACCAACTTATAATCTTTCTAGATATTTGGCCAAAATTCTTAAACCATATGAAAGCATAATAAAATATGGAATAAAAAAATTCTAATGATTTCAAAAACATTGTCAGTAATATTCGGATAGAACATGATGAAATAATGGCAAGTTTTGATGTTTGCTCATTGTTCACTAATGTTACTATTAAAAAAGCTTTAGATATTGTATATAATCTGTTAGATTCTGACATTGAACTTAAACAGCGTTGCCGTCTAGACCCAACAGACATTATTAGAGCGTTGGAGCTTTGCTTACATTCAACGGTTTTCATTTTTCGAGGAGTTTTGTACAGACAAACAGAAGGTGTGGCTATGGGATCACCTGTCTCTCCAATTGTGGCTAATTTATTCATGCATTCATTGGAAACAATTGCTATCTCAATGTGTTCCATTCCACCAAAAATTTGGGTAAGATACGTAGATGATACCTTTGTCATCATAAAACGAGATGGCTTAGACGAACTATTCCAACGGTTCAACAGCGTAGATGACAAAATCAAGTTTACTAAAGAGTTGGAATCGACTGAACGCAGATTACCGTTTCTAGACTGCCTGGTTGAAAGGAAGGATAATGATTTTTTAAAAATTAATATATTCCGTAAGCCTACATATTCAGGGAAATTTTTAGATTTTAAGTCTGCGCACCCACACGCGACCAAAGTGACAGTGGCCAAA